CCCTCCTCTCCGGTGAGCTCCTCCTCCCTCCTCTCCGGTGAGCTCCTCCTCCCTCCTCTCCAGCGACCTCCTCCTCCTCCTCTCCGGCAAAAGACCATGGCAACAAGATCCAAAAACAACAGGAACAAAATTTGAGAATATTGTCGTGCCAAAAAACAAGAAAAAAAAACGAGCAAAAAATGGGCAAAGAATCACGATCCAGATCTAGATTCAAAATGGCGCATGACTAATGGCGCATCACAGGAAAGTGCGCCATTAGTATGCCGCAGTTACTAATGGCGCATCCAGTTGTGGTGCGCCATTAGTATCCAAAGCACCTGGCCCCTGGGAGGCATACTAATGGCGCACCGTGGCTTATACTAATGGCATGCTGTTAGTGGCGCACCACAGATGCGCCATTAATGGCCATAATAGGTGCGCCATTAGTAGGGGTTTTTCTAGTAGTGCACATGACACCATTACAGCACCAGCACATGCACAGCCACAACCCGAGCGGCTGATCGACCTACATCACTCTAGCGCAAGGGCGAGGGAGCCGCATGCTACTATGGGGAGGATCACGCAGCTCGTCGATGAACTCGAGCGCTGAAGCTTATTCTGGCATGGATCTAGAGCGGACCCCCTAGTGACATATCACCCTCAAACCAAGCATTGTTAGGCGATAAAGCATGTAAGGCCCCATGCCACAAAAATAAACCCGTTAAGAAAACAACATAGGGGATGAGAATGAAGGTAGTGACTTGGAGGACTAATAGGAATGTAATGTTGAGTGCTCGCTCTCGAGCACCCATTATGGTGCAAAAAATTATAAGCATTAACAAAATTAGTTTTGAGCTATGACGAAAGATAGTTGCAGGATTACAACAAAGTATGAGATTCAAACCTAAGATAACAAGAGAGCATAAAAGATCTTGACATCAGATCCTTCACACAATCGAACCAGGCTAAACATCATCTTTGTTGTTCATATGCGTGGTCCCATGAGCATGGCCAACAATAGCAACTACATGTTCTATCATTTGCTTCGAGGCTAATTGGTTTGATGTCAACATTTGGCATTGCCAATACTTGGCAAGCCAACAATTGGTAATTTCAAAAGTTGCCAAAATTTGGCTACTTCTTTAAGGTTGGCAAGTTAAATTGGTAACCAAGCAAACACTTTCCAATATTTGACATTTGTCAAATGTTGGCATGCCAATTTTTGGCATCAAACCAATCATGCTCTTAGTCCCACCACGTATAAGTTCCTCATCTTCCTCCTTCCGAAGGCATGTCTAGTGAAGCAAGAGAGACTAAAGGGTAAAATCAATATCAAGGAGACTACACACTAGTAGATTCTCATAAGTCACTCTATTATACACAATTCAGGTAGCCCAACAAAGAACAAAAATTGTAAACATATAAAAGCCAAAAGTGGGATAGCATCAAATACCCACTGTTGATCCCAACACACCCCCAAAGGCCCAAACCACATGATAATCACAATTAACAAATGAAGAACAAGTGTTGGGTCATTTAATTTGATCACAAAAGGAACCGATATGGGATCCCATACACCGTACATTTTCACAAGTTCTGCCTTGTCAAGATAAAAATAAGTGCACAATTGCCACCTGAAAATTTGAATTTTTTAAGGAATCTTGGCTTTCTAGCTAGATCCGCTTGTAATGGACTCTTTGCTCAAGCCATTGATAAATAGACTAGGTACTGGATTTCCTAGTTTTACTCAGGGTCCAAAGCACGTCATCGGTATTTTCATTAAGATCAAGGTGCCCTTCCCCCCCCACACCCATAGTGAAAAAAATTTCAACTCCATGGAAGATCATAATGTAGCTAACAACGAAAAATAAAGGGCCGTCCATTCAGAAGTAACTAGTGTGGTTTTTGTTCAAACCACGTCAGTAATGTTCGAATGGAGGTAGTTGAAGACTATTTATTAATCCTCGTAATAGTTAACGTCTCCAATATGATTTAACATTTATTGAAAAGAAACTTTCATATGCTTTATTTTTATAGAATATTTATGATGGAGTCCTTTAGATGTCCGTTAACTATCGGCGTGAGTTTGATCGAACAATAATCAATGGCAATTATGATTCTTTTGAAATACTTATAAGTAACGTTCTACTGAGCCACGAAAAAAGTAATATTCTACCGATCTCGAACTCCGACTTTAGGTTAAGGGAAATAACTCATATCAATTAATCAACACATAAATCAATTTAATGGTATTATAGACATTTTAACACACACCTCGGGCAAAACTTTAAGAATATGTCAACCAAAAGGAACGAAACTACAAATTCTCACGGATTCTGCACATAACTAATTCTTGAGCAGATTGTGTGCAGGGGCTATTTATGTTGTGTTGTGTGATTCTCCTATTGGTTCGATAACCTTGGTCTCATCACTGAGGAAAAGACTTACCGTTGTTGTGCTGCATCATCCCTTCCTTTTCGAGGAAATACCGAAGTAGTTCTAGCAGACATCAGTAACCAAGTTGTGCAAAACCAAGGCCAATTGGCCCCCTGTCAATGTATATACATGTCGCAACCAGCCAGGTGTAGACAAGCTCTACCAATTACTATAAGAAGTTCCAGAAAATCATATTATTACACGCATGTGCATTATTAAAGAGAACAATGTACTATATGATCAACATGTGTGTGTGTGGATCATTATGTATAGTTATAGTTAGCGGAAGAAATTTAACAACATGGTGTTTGGCATTTCCCTAAAATGATATTTAGCATCTGTCCTTGAAATAGGATATAAATTTTGTTCCACATCATATGTCCTTGCGCATGTCTTCAACCAGCATACCAAATTCACGCACATTACAGAGACTGAGCTCAAGGTGATAAAGCAGATGATAGAAGCTATAACCCTAACAAATGAGGAATGCATCGGATTTATGGCATGGGGAAATCCAGAGAATTCAACACCGACAGTGTAGAGTTTGCTTTCACCAAATGGTTTCATTGATCCTTATGTGAAATCCATTTCTATATGCCATCTTCATCCTTTATTGGCGGATTTGGTAAGCCAAGAATGACCTGATTTTTTGGGCATCCATAGCTCTGCCAGTGATACCATACGTCGAACCACGAAAAGGATTACTACATGGATCAAGAGATATGTAACTTTAGACAAGATAACCCTTCTCCCCTTTTGTTTCTTTCTCCTTATGCGACTTGTCTAGTTCTTTTTTCTTCTCTTCAATTTGTTTGACTTTTTTAGTCTTGTAATCCATGTAAGGCTTTTCCGATTCGGTTTCGGATTGAAATATTTTTTCCATGCGACCAAGACAAAATTAGATACATGAAAAGAAAAAATATTGGTCACATCGGACAAACTGTCAACATGTAGTTACACATCTTTATCTTGGCAAATATGAACATCCAGCACATTCACCTTGCTCTAGGACATTTACATCTTCAAAACTTTCTCACCAGAAAAATAAAAAATCTAGACACGGAAAAAGAAAGTGTATATACAATAGTACTTCTCATTTCACAACATACGACCAAAATAGCTATGTTGTTCTTGGATTTCGCTACAAATCAAACATTAGATTTTTGACCATGACATATCAAACATTTTCCCTGATAGCATCACTCAGGTAACTATTAGTGGCTAATAAAGTGCCGTAATACACAGCTATGCAGGGTATGCCTATAGAACATGTTGATACAAAGACCATTTAGATCACTACATAGTCTTATGTGAGTTTACAGAGGGAGTACTAGTTACACCAAATGGACAATAGAGGTCAAACAAACAACAATGGAAGAAGAGATCCAGAATAAAAATTTCAACAAAAGAAGATATCCAGAATAAAAATTTCAGCAACCGGAATGAAATGCCTTGGCTCCAAGAGCATTACCAAGACCGAATTTCTATCCTTATTAACGATGCCATTCATGCATCTTAACCATGCCAAAACTAAATAAAATGAGACGAGACGCATGACCATGCACTGCGCATGAGGATCCTCTCCTCACATATGGGAGCAAAACGACACGAAGAAGATGCTCCATGATCGGCGCCTCACGACAACTCGAACTCCATATCGTCCAAGAATGACATCATATCATCGAGGGGGAAGCTGGCGCTCGAGCTGGTGCCGACGCCGTCGTGGCCACCAGTACTGTAGCCATTTCCATTATAGACCAGGGCGCTATGGTCCTCCTCGGATCTCACCAAGTTACGCCAGCCCTCCTGCTGCTGCAATGCCTGATACATCCGCGGAGGCCCCATGTCGACGCTGCCGGTGACGTACTGCGCCTGGGGCTGGAAGACTGGTGGCTTCCAGCCCTCCTGCTGGTGCGGCGGCGCCTGATACATCGCCGGAGGCCCCATGTCGGCGCTGCCAGCGATGTATGGCGCCTGGGGCTGGAAGACCGATAGCTGCCTGCCCGCCTGCTGCGGCGGCGGCGCTTGATACTGCGCCTGGGGCTGGAAAAGCGGTGGCTGCCCGCACGCCTGCTGCTGCGGCGACGCTTGATTCATCGACGAAGGCCCCATGTTGGCTCTACCGGTGATGTATGGCGCCTGGGGCTGGAAGAACGATGGCTGCCCGCCCGCCTGCTGCTGCGACGACGCTTGATACATCGACGGAGGCCCCATGTTGACGCCGCCGGTGACGTATGGTACTTGGGGCTGGAAGACCGGCAGCTGCGGGTTGGTTTTAGCGATGCGCTCAACGAGGCTCTGGTGGATCTCCCCCGACGTACAGCCAACACTTGCGACCTCCTCGGCGTTAAGGTTGCCACCGAGCATGGCCTTGTGCAGGAGGGCCCTGATGTCACGGTCCTCACGCTCGCTTTGGAGCTTGTTGGCCTGGTGCTGGAGCTTGGCGAGGCACTTGGTGAGGAACTCCTCCTGGCTCGTCGTCTTCTTGAACTGTGGCATGTTCGGCATGGCCTTGTACCGATTCAGGATTTCCACCGCCTCGGCATGGGACGGGTAAACATACGGCTCCGATGCGCCCTCGTCATACACCAGAACGCATGCCTTGGTGTTGCATAGGATGCCTAGCTCGCCCACCTTCTTCGTTAGGTAGTTGCGACGTGTCTCGTAGGTACGACGACGGGTGGAGTCCTCGCCGATGTACCGGAGGGGCACCTTCTTGCGAACCATTGCCGTTCGAAGGGTAAAACTAGCAGAGGAAAAGAGAAGTTGCTTGTTTTTGGTGAGTTGAAAGGAAGGATGAAGGCGTGGATTTATAGGGGAGGATCGGCCAGGATGAGCATGTTGCAGCCTTCCGGCCATCACTGTGCTCATCTCTAACTTTGGAGTCCATTTACAACCTTTCACTCTCTACGTAGATATGCATGGTGGTGCTAGCTAGCCCATTAATGCATCCTATAATTATAGAATTTCTTTATAATTAATTATTTGCTCAGAATCGATCGAGAATTTTTTTAGGTGACGAAAACATTATGTGATTGTATAATAAGCCATAGGGCATGCATGCATATATTTTTTAGCTACATATTGCAAAATTAATTGTGCATTTAATGTTTTCTAAAGTTGGATTGGTATTCAAACATGTACAACGTCCCATAACCGCGTTAAGAAAATATCAATAAATAACATACTACAAATATTATCTCATGATGTAGTGGTAATCGAAAATTACAAATCTACTAATATATACAAGCAATTAAACTACAATTCATATGCACTGTGTGGATAAGTTCTGCCCATTTTTTGCAACACATGTATTGTATGTTATTCCATATATACAGCAGGTTGGATGACTATTGTTGCTTTATGACCTAGTGGTATGTAGTCATTGTATTCACCACCGCATACTTACTTCCAGACTTAGTTATGTAGTCCAAGTAAGTAATAACTTTCGGCCGCGCACTAGTGCTGGTACCACTTCAACGACATCTACGCCTCCAACAAGTGTGCTTGCTCGACAATTACCATATAGAGCATTGACATGAACTAGTACATTTATGCCTCAAATGGAGTAGGTACATGGCCATTACACTATGTTGGTAATATTATTTTTCACACCCCTAATTCTCCATGCTCCATATGACACTCAAAATCTCATTTATGTGCATTATCTAACTACTGATAATAAACTATTATGAAATTTTATGATGCCTTCTTTTTTATCAAGATCATGCCACGAGGAGGGTAATTCATCAAAGTAGATGTGAAGCAGGTTTGTAGACCCTCAAGCTATAGTCATATCCTTCATCCAAACAAGATTACAAGTATCCAATCCTATTTCCACAAAATGACATCATTATTTAGATGATTGATGTCTACTATACAACCTTCTTCTTGTAGACGTTGTTGGGCCTGCAAGTGCACAGGTTTGTAGGACAGTAGAAAATTTCCCTCAAGTGGATGACCTAAGGTTTATCAATCTGTGGGAGGCGTAGGATGAAGATGGTCTCTCTCAAACAACCCTGCAACCAAATAACAAAGAGTCTCTTGTGTCCCCAACACACCCAATACAATGGTAAATTGTATAGGTGCACTAGTTCGGCGAAGAGATGGTGATACAAGTGCAATATGGATAGTAGATATAGGTTTTTGTAATCTGAAAATATAAAAACAACAAGGTAACTAATGATAAAAGTGAGCGTAAACGGTATTGCAATGGTAGGAAACAACGCATAGGGTTCATACTTTCACTAGTGCAAATTCTCTCAACAATAATAACATAGATAGATCATATAAGAATCCCTCAACATGCAACAAAGAGTCACTCCAAAGCCACTAATAGTGGAGAACAAACGAAGAGATTATGGTAGGGTACGAAACCACCTCAAAGTTATTCTTTCGGATCAATCTATTCAAGAGTTCATACTAGAATAACACCTTAAGATACAAATCAACCAAAACCCTAATGTCACCTAGATACTCCATTGTCACCTCAAGTATCCATGGGCATGATTATACGATATGCATCACACAATCTCAGATTCATCTATTCAACCAACACAAAGTACTTCAAAGAGTGCTCCAAAGTTTCTACTGGAGAGTCAAGACGAAAACGTGTGCCAACCTCTTTGCATAGGTTAATGAGCGGAACCAGCAATTTGATCACCAAAACATACATCAAGTGGCACGTGATATCCCATTGTCACCACAGATAAGCACGGCAAGACATACATCAAGTGTTCTCAAATCATTAAAGACTCAATCCGATAAGATAACTTCAAGAGGGGAACTCAATTCATCACAAGAGAGTGGAGGGGGAGAAACATCATAAGATCCAACTATAATAGCAAAGCTCGCGATACATAAAGATCGTGCCATAGAGAGAACATGAGAGAGAGAGAGAGAGATCAAACACATAGCTACTGGTACATACCATCAGCCCCGAGGGTGAACTACTCCCTCCTCGTCATGGAGAGCACCGGGATGCTGAAGATGGCCACCGGTGAGGGATCCCCCCTCCGGCAGGGTGCCGGAACGGGATTCCGAGAGGTTTTTGGTGGCTACAGAGGCTTGCGGCGGCGGAACTCCCGATCTATCTTCGTCTTTGATGTTATTAGGGTACATGGACTTATATAGACGAAAGAAGTCGGTCAGGGGAGCCTCGAGGGGCCTAGGAGACAGGGGGCGTGCCCAGGGGGTGGGCGCGCTCTCCTATCTACTGGCTTCCTCGAGCCTTCCCTGGCTTGAACTCCAAGTCTCCCGGATCATATCCTTTCCAAAAATCACGCTCCCGAAGGTTCATTCCATTTGGACTCCGTTTGATATTCCTTTTCTTCGAAATACTGAAACAGGCAATAAAACAGCAATATGGGCTGGTCCTCCGGTTAGTAGGTTAGTCCCAAAAGTAATATAAAAGTGTATAATAAAGCCCGTAATCATTCAAAACATATAATAAAATAGCATGGATGCTTCATAAATTATAGATACGTTGGATACGTATCAGCATCCCCAAGCTTAATTCCTACTCGTCCTTGAGTAGGTAAATAATAAAAGAAAGAATTTATGAAGTATGAATGCTAGCAGGTGCACAAGTTTGATCAATGATAATTCAGTCACCTTTTCTAGCATGATTATATGTCATAACAGTAGTTCATCTCATAAAACTTCTCAAGATCAAGTAACAAGTTATTCACATGTTAAAGCATAGACCATAAACTTTCTTGAAAACTAGCAAACTTCATTCTTAGTCATCAAACAATTACAATTCATCTTATTTTCAGGAAGGATCTTTGTCATAGCTTTGATTTAGCAAACTCCACATACTCAACTATCATATAGTCTTCTACAATTGCTAACAGTCACGCAATACTAATGGTTATGGAGTTTCAATCGGACACTGAGAAAGATAGGGGCTTATAGTGTTGCCTCCCAACGTGTTCACCTTTGGGTGATGTCAACAATAATAGTTCATGCTAACTTACATCCAATTGGATATATATATATATATATATATATATATATATATATATATATATATATATATATCAGGATCTTTCCAACACGAGGTGCTTGCCAAAGGATAAAATGAAAAAGGGAAAGGTGAAGATCTCCTTGACTCTTGCATAAAGTAAAAGACATAAAGTAAAAGATAGGCCCTTCGTAGAGGGAAGCAAGGATTTGCAGAGGTGCCAGAGCTCAATTTTGAAATAGAGATAAATAATTTTGAGAGGTATGATCTCATTGTCAACATAACAACCAAGAGTTCCCAATATCTTCCATACTACATACATTATAGGTGGTTCCCAAACAGAATGGTAAAAGTTTTTACTCCCCCTCCACCAACAATCATCAATCCATGGCTTGCCCAAAACAACGGGTGCCTCCAACTAACATCAAACCTAGGGGAGTTTTGTTTGCAAATATTTTTGATTTGATTTTGATCTTTTGATCATGGGACTGGGCATCCCGGTTACCAGCCATTTTTCTCATGCATGATGAGCGGAGTCCACTCATCTTGAGAATAACCCACTTAGCATGGAAGATACTGACAGCCCCTAGTCGCTACATGAGCGATTCGGGCATACAAAACAAATTATTATTTGAAGGTTTAGAGTTTGGCACATGCAAATTTACTTGGAACGACAGGTAAATACCGCATATAGGTAGGTGGACACTCATGGCAAAAACTGGTTTTAAGGATATTCAGAAGCACAAGCAGTATCTCTACTTGGTGCAAGGAATTTTTGGCTAGCATGAGGGGGAAAGGCAAGCTCAACATGTTTGAATGATCCATGACAATATACTTTAACTGAGATGTGAGAAAACAAAACCCATTACGTTGTCTTCCTTGCCCAACATCAAATCTTTAGCATGTCATACTTAATGAGTGCTCACAAATATAAAAGATTTCTAAGATAGTATATTTATATGTGACATCTCTCTTCCTTCAATATTCTTTCATGAATTGTTCAAATGACCAATACAATGCTTGATAACCTTCAATAAATTTACAACCTCTACTTCTTAGATGTGATGTCATTACTCCCCATGGGATAAGCAAATGAGACATATATAATTTTAGATTTATGACATTCAACTCATTCAACAATTTCCTCATAAGATATAAGTGAAGCACACGAGTAAATGAAAAACAACTCCAAAAAGATATAAGTGAAGATCAATGAGTAGCTAAATAATTATGTAACTATGTGAAGACTCTCTCTCAATAAAGAATTTCAGAGCTTAAGTACTTTATTCAAGCAGCAAGCAAAGCAAAATAAAATGACATTGTAAGGATAGCACAACTCAAGTGAAGAAGCAAAAACTTAGGCTCAATCGATACTAACCGATAGTTGTTGAAGAAGAAAGGCGGGATGCATAACGGGGCATCCACAAGCTTAGATGCTTGAGACTTATTGAAATATTATCTTGGGGTGCCTTGGGCATCCCCAAGCTTGAACTTTTGTGTCTCCTTAATTCCTCTCATATCATGGTTTTTCTTTTTATCAAAAGCTTCATCCACACCAAACTCAACAAGAACTCGTTAGATAGGTTAGTATAAACCAATGCAAAACCTTATCATTTTATACTATAACAAATCACTAAAACTATTATTCCACATTGCATACTAAATGCCTCTGCATATTTAACACTCCTATCCTAAAATAGAATCATTAAACAAGCAAACATATGCAAACAATGCAAACATAACAACAATATGCCAAAACAGT